AGGGAGGCTCCCAAATTTTTCTTGACTGAAGTTTTCTTACTACATGAAGTATGGCTTTTAAAGACAAAATCAACTTCTAAAAATTGGAAATCTGATAATGCATAGTTAGATCAAATTAAACTTTTTTTTTCATATTAGATTATTGTAAATCTGGTTTCTTGAGACTTTTAAAGTATAGTTCGGAGGTTTTTCTAATCTCCCATCTAATTAAAGCACCTTACCCATTTATTTTACAAAAAGGACACTCAAATTCCTACTGAAGCCCAAGATTATCATGTTTATACATATTTATGTTATTGTTGCTCCGGCATACATATTTAGCAGCTATGTGAAATAAAACTTATAAATTCGAAAAATGTCACTGACAAGATGTGTAAAAAGGCAGATGGAAGAAAGGTAAAAGCAAAGTAGGAAGGCAGAAGAGGTAATAAGTTCTCTTCTTTGAAAGTGGAGGTAGATATTAATATGCTAAATTTTGCAGTTTTGGAAACAATGACAAGTTAAGGTAGCAGAACCTCCCTTTGTATGGTACATTCACTCAAAACAGATAAGAGTTCCTATTAAGTACCAAGTATTAACTAGGCGCTGGATATCCAACAGTTTGCATCTTTAATGATCTGTTTGTAAAGTAATACTTTTTTTGCATAAACATACTGAATAGTCTGGGTATATAGAAAAATTTGTGCATATTCTAATGACCAATTTTTAATGATATATAATCACCCTTTTCTCTTGTTTTTCTATTTTCCCATATCAGATTTGTATTGCTGCCACCACCTCCTAGGAACAGATAGATTAGGAGGCAGAAAGTCTCTAGTTTATCAGAGAGCAAAGAACGTTCACTCAGATTAAGTGTCTTTAAAACATGAATGGGGGTTTCCAGTAAAAAATGGGGGAGACAGTCTATCTGCAACTTTCACTAACTGTAAACTTTCAAATAATCTACTTGTGTTGCATAAAATATGCCTTCAAACATCTAAAAACAGCTCTCATTCACTCTCCCAGAGCGCTCTTTTTCTAGCAAAGGTCCCAGGTTCTTTAAATCTTTTCAAAATATAGATATGTCTACATATACACACATTATAGAACATGTCATATAAAACATAGATAAATGTATATCTAAATGAGTATATATATCTAAATATAATATATTATGATACCTGGTATACTTTAAGTCTTCAATTATATACTAATTTCTATCACCCCCCGCCCAAAAAAAAAATCAAGAAGTTCTTCTTCTAGTGTAGGACAGGTACATTACAAAACAATTTCTTTAGGTACTGTTATGTCTTTTCATATTCCTCTTCTTAGGAAAGAAAAGTAAAGCTGTTTGGGACTTCATAAATATCTCTGATGAACTTTGCTTCATAGAAGATAAGGTGCTTGTATTTGTATTTCTCTTATGATAAGGCTTTAATTTTGTGCTTGTTTTAATTCCTCAATTCACCTTTTAAATTACTGATTTTAATTTTTGTTAACTTTGCTTATGATTATTTTTCCTTCAATCTGTTATGATTCCTGATGTTAATTTTTATTATGTTTTAAGTATTTACTTTCTTTGTTGATTTCGTGCTTTTGGCTCCTTTATATTCTAGCTATTATTGGTAATATCGATACATTAGCTTTCCAGCTTCTTAAAATATAACTTCTATCTTACTTACAATCATTCTTCCATCAACAACATGCAATGCCAGTGGAATGGCCAGATAATTTAATCTCAAAGTACTGCAGTAACTCAAGTTAAATCCAATTATAAGGGATAATAGAAAAGCTCACTGGACATGTAATTTTGAATACCCATTCCCTAAAATGGATTGTCATGGAACAAGCCAGACTTTCGTGGACCTGTACAGTTGGACCACATTGTTCTGGTGTCCATCACCGTAGTCCAGGGTTTCTTAACATTGGCACTATTAACATTTTGGGCAGATAATCCTTTGTTCCAAGGGACATCCTTTGCATTGTAGGGTGTTCAGCATCATCTCTGACTTCTACCTGCTAGATTCCAGCAGCATCACCCTCAACTATGACAATCAAAATGTCCACCAGACATTGCCATGTGTCCCTGAGGACAAAACTGTCCCCGGTGGAGAAGCCCTTTACACTGAGCTGGAACCTGGGTTTTTGAAATCAGTTTGCATTGTGCAATCTGTTAAAAAATAGTCATAAGAAAAGTAATAGCAGTAGGATATTATCTATTTTACCCTTTATTTTCTACTATGACGGCCCATAGGAGAAATTTGCCTCAGACTTCAGTATAAACAGGATGTGATTTTTATGGATGAGGTGAATCCTTAACTAATATTTTCATTTCTCTTTGGCCAATGGAAGGGTTCAAAAGCAAATTTATAGCCTATCTTTGACAACAATGTAAGATCTACAGCACATGATTATGGGTACTGAATCTGAATGCCAGTTTAATCCTTTTTATTTTGCCGTGAACCTTTAAACCTTATTTTTTATCTTACATAATACATACATTTCTGCATGTGAACACAAATCCTCTTTTGAAAGAGATTAGGTATAAATTAATATATAAGTATTTAAGCACAATATTCCCTAGTCGTTCACATCCCTTAATGTCACTTTTTTACCTCTCCAAATCTCATCCTGTTGGATCTAGATCTTGTAGTTTTAACTTACAAATAAGTCTACTCAGTCAAAACATATAACTAAATCTGTTCATTTCAGTGGCCTATATCAGATACATAATCACCAGCACAATGGCTTATAATTATGTCTGCCTACATTTATCAGAAGTATATTTCTACAAGATGAAGGTCATGGAGTTCTTGATGGTGTTGTTACCTGTAGGTTGCCCAGACATCAGCACATCCCTCTGTAGGCTGATGGGAAGACAGGGGACGACCTACACCCTCTCTTCTCTTGCTGAGGCTGGCATTGTAAGTGTTACCTCTCCCCATTAACACCTATTTCTAATCCTTGCAACAACTGGAATCCCTCCAGAACCCTGGTGCAGGACAGATGGCAACACGGGAGTGGTCCATCTTGCACAACAGTGAAACTATGACGGGTCCCCTGAGGCCCACTCTCTCAGATTACTTCTGATAATGCTGAAAGAAACCATGTTCCTCCCATTTTAACCCTCAATACAATCATTCCAAGACCTCAAATTAGATATTGGTATTAAGGAATTTACCAACAGGTTAAGTGGATAAAAAATCTCTGGTATGTTCATACAAGGGAAAACTACTCATCAAAAAAAGGCAGCTCTATTAGTGCCTATACATACAATCTTGTAAATCTCAGAAACATTATGTCCAGTGAAAGATACAAGAATCTATGCTGTATTGCTCCACTTATAAGAAATTCTGTGAGAGGCAAAATTAAAATTTATAGTGACAGAAAGCAAAGCAGTGGTAGTAGAGTTGGCAGGCTGGAGATGGCACAGGGTTACAAAGGACCCTTACAGATGGACAGAAAGGTTCTTTTTGATATTATATCTTGACTGGAGTTGTGGTTACACATTTATCAAAATAAAACTTTACCTCTACTTAAAATAGGTTCAAATGTGGTATTCTTGCCAAGAATGCATAACTTCAAACTAATGATGAGAAAACATCAGACAAATCAAACCTGAAGATGAGTCTACAAAATAACTGGCCCAGTGTTCTTCAAAGTTTTAAGGTCATGGCATAGATCTGAGGGATCCAGCAGGGAAGAAGGAGGGAGAGGGGTCAGAACAGGGGAGGGAAGAGCAAAAGGTAATGGCCACGGGTGCTGTGGTGGTGGGAGAAATAGGGGGAACTACATCTGAAGGGAGAAATAAAATATTGTCCAGAAAATTAACAATGATGTAAGAAAATACATTAATAAATTTAATTAAAAAAAAAAAAAAAAAGCTTTAAGGTCATGAAATACAAGGAGACTGAAACACCGTCCCAGACCAGGGCAGACTGGGAAGATGTTATTCACTTTGATGTGAATACAAAGTGGAACCCTGGACCAGGGGAAGGATGCCACTAGAAAAACTGGTAAAATCCAAATGCGGCCTGCAGTTTAAATTGCAGTATTATACCAATGCTGCAATTATACCAGTACTTCTCAGTTTTAGCAATTGTGCCGTAGTTATAGGAGTTTTTAACATCAGGTGAAGTTGAACACGGCATTATTTTTCAACATGTTTAAAGCCTAAAATTAGCTAGAAACAGATGTTTTTAAAGTGGGTGCATTTTATTTTGTGTTAATTTTTTTTTAAAGATTTATTTATTTATTTATACAAGCACTGGGTACAGTAAGAAGCACAGGAGGGTGAGAGAATTCACCAGAGCCAGAGCGGGGAGCAGAGCAGGCAAAGGGACTGAAGTACACTGCTGAGGGGAGCAGCAGGTGGCAGGAGAGGTCTGCGCGCCATGCGGGACCCTCCTCCAGTGGCGGGGGAGCAGCCGGGGATCAAACCTGCGCTGCAGAGGCTGCGGGCAGCTTTGCAACCCAGCGCTCAACCGCTGCGCTACTGGGGAGGCCCTTTGTGTTAATTTTAACCCATTAAGTTTATATAAAGACAAAAATAAATGGGGGTTATTAAGAAATAACCCTACCTGTAGCTGAGTCTCCCTTTATATTCATTAAGTATAATATTTATATCAAGAATATGACTAACTATTAGAAGAGCCAAAATACTTGACTTTTCAATATTTGAGTCAATAAAATGAGTAAATATACAAATCCTTACCTAAGAGAATCACATTTAAAAGATTAGTAATTGACTAAAACCCTCAGCTGGTTCATAACATTCCCCACATTAATACTAATATATAGTTAACAATAAAATATCACATGGTCAAATCATGATGAGATAATAGAATCCATAAAACTCTGAAGTCTAGAGTAAAAATATTTAGTTTCTAGTACTCTCACATCTAACCATATTTAAGTATTTGGGCTTCAAAACGATATCACTCATTTAACATTACGTAAAGAACACAAAGCCAAGAATGTAAAAAACATTTAGAGAAAAAATTGAATCTTTTATAACATACCTCCTCTATTGCCATTTTCTTCATCCTATAAAATAAAATAAAAAAAAAAATCCACCTATGAGTACATATTTATGTCAGGTAAAATCCAGCAAGGTTCACTTCAATTCAAACTGTCCACCCCAAAATGTGTGCATTACAATCTTATTAACAGTGTGCCTTTTGCCAGAAGGAAGGAGCCATCAAAAGTAAACAAGGGAAGGTGGTAGAAGTCGTCGACTTAGGGGGAGGATGCCAGAAGTTAAGTTTTGACACATGGTGTGTGATATATCTAATAGAGAACCCAAGTGGAGTTGTAAAAAGAGAGTAGCTGGATAGATAAACGAAGAATCTGGAAGAGAGGACCAGTTCAGTCTCCACTGACTGACCAATAGTTTAAGAAAATGTGTCTTTAGGGCTATTATAGGACCAAGAGCTGTCTTTATATGTTGCCTTCAAATTGCTATATATTTGTCTTCTTGAATTTTGAGGCTTGTTTATCTTTTTGTTTGCACTCATTACTACCAATCTGTCTCACTGCCAGGTTTCTTACCTCAAGCTAGGAAATTAGAAAAGCAACTTGGAAAGCTCTTATACAAATATAAAAATAATATGTTAATATGAACACACAAATTTGAAAAACTAATATACATACAAACATACATTTGCTGAGGCGTTCTCATATGAAAACTATAATGTACTCTAGAAAGAAAAACACATTTAGTGAAGTACTGATAATTTATTATATAACTTTGACCTTCATTTTGGCTGCCCAAATATACATATGCATGCATACATGCATACATACATACATACATATGTGTGTTTTTTCAGTTATAAACTCATTTCCAAGGCTCCTAAGTTTGCACTGATATAATAAAGACATTTTTGTATCAATTGCACATTTTCCAAAAAGCATGAAATTTGTAACTTCTTTGGAGTGAACAAAATTTCATGTATTTTCCAAGTAAAATTTACAAGATTGAGACCTATTTATAAGAACATCTGTGTTAAATAACAGTATTAATAGCTAAAATTTACTGAGCAATAACTGTATGCCAATTTCTGTGCTGCTTCACATGGATCATATCATTTAATAAACACAGAACCTGTGAAGGTGTTGTCAGGTGACTTACCCAAGATCACAGAGCAAATAAGGGGCAGAAATGGGGCTTGAACCCAGGTCTTTGGACTATAACTACTATACTGATCAGAGTTACATTGCACTAAAAAAATTCCTAAAAATACTTTCTAATGGTGATAATAATGCCTTTTTAACCTGTGTTTGGTAGAATTAGCTTATAAAAAATATACTACATATATGCTCATCATGACCCAAAGCTCTTCTTCAAAACAAAAGAAAAGCAAAGAAATTGCAGTCTTGTGATGTAATTAAAGTGAGAGGCTCTTTAAACTGTCAAGTGTTCTCATACATGACCTAACACATAAGCAATACCCTTTCACCTAGGGAATCCTGTTCAGTAGCTACAGACAGCTCAGTAATTCAAACTTGTCGAATTTAACTGCAACGGTAGCAATTATTCATAATTCTTAAAAACTACTATACCTTAAAAAAACTTCTCTAGTAAGACGTTTTACTGAAAAGATACATCTAAAAAATATATAATAGTGTGATCTCCAGAAGAAGTTTTAAAAGACAAACTTAGATTCCTATTTAGAGTCAGAAAGGACTTTCTAATCCTCTAATTGAATTCTCTCAAATAAAATGAAAATCTAGAGGCCAAAAGACATGAAGATGTTTGGCCCAGTTCTCACAGCTCCTGTGAATATCATTATTTCCAAGACACTGTTCATAACAGTTCAGTATCGGGCACTGGTGCGGCCAAGCTCAGATCCCGGCACACTATTTACTCATTATGTGACTCAGTGAAGTTTCCACAGCTATTATATAGGACTAATGATGAAGTGAGGTAATGCTCATAAACTAGCGTAAAGGACCCAGAACAAGCACTCAGTGTGTCAGCCGCCATTCACAGTAATGACTCCCCACTGCCTCCTAGGAGACCGTGTTACTAGACATGAAGCATATGGATGTAGTTCACTCCGTTGAGAAGTTGTATTTTAGTTTCCAACTTGCCATCGTATTACATATCTGAAAGTTAAGTATTATTCGAATCTCAGCAATTTTCTTCCACTGTCAGAATATTTTAACCAATGATTTCCTCTGCATATTCTTCCCAGAAAACCTGCCACCTTCATAGATAGTAGGAAAACAGCTATTATTAGAAAAAGTAGAATGAATTTGGGAATTAGAAGTCCTAATAAAATAGATTTGGAGTTTATAACAGAGAACATTAAAGTTTCTGCTACAGAAGGAAGAAAAATACCTAAAGGAATATAATAACGATGTAAGTATTAATATAAAACTTCCTTCAAGACAGAAAGAAGGTGCAAGACAGGGTTAGAGGAAGACAAGAAGGAACTGGAAATCATCTTGTGCTTTTTTTCAGATTATTTTAATCATTTCTCTTACCTTAAATGAAAATTGAATCGCAGATTCTGGAGGATAAACAATAAAATGCCGTAATGTAAAACCAAAGCCTTGCGATGTTCTTTTCAACATAACCGTTTTGGGACCTGGCCAGGAAAAAGTTTCATCCTCGGATGGTGATACAGTTTCACTTTGTTCTTTTCCATCTTTACTTTTTGCTACCTGAAATGAAATGATATTTTAAAAGTTAATTAGATAACACAATATACTTCCTCACTTAGAAAAAATTTATGGGCTAAATACAATTTCTGAATTCAGATACGAACTTACCAGAGAAAAGAGCCATCTTCTGATACATGAACTATATGTATTACAACAGATCATGCAGATCATCAAAAATTAACATTTTTTCAAGAAAGGGAAGCTATATGAAGCTAGACGGAAGTGAGAAACAACTCTTGGAAATGATAAGTAAAATGGCTAAATTTTAAAAGCAATAGAGGAATTTAAGATAATGCAATAAAAAAAAACACTTTGTAGAGCACTAAAGGCTGAAACAGAAACTGTAAAAGAAAAGGTATAAAACTCTTACTAAGCAACACTAGAACAGTTATCAAATAGTCTAATGGTAACAAAAGATATTTAAAAATACTACAGAAGGCCTTCAGGTTCTGAACACAAATTCAGTATGCACAGATGATGCTTGTAGTATCCTGGCCTTCCAGTTCTTTGATCTCCTCCCCTCTAGTTTTTACTTTCATCTGGTCAGGACTGAAAACCATTTGCAACCCTCGAATCAAGGATCCCAATCTTTCTTCTGTCTTATACCCCAAACCACAAACTCTTCAATCTGGGGCTGACCCTACCACATGTTCCTGACCCTCATTACCCCAGGGCTCCTCCCTTTCCAGCCAGCTTCAATCCACTCCTTTGGATTTCCTTCCTTCCTCAAAGCCTCCTGACAAAAGCTAACCTCAGCTGAATACACCAAAATGGTACTCTGGGTCAAAAACTGGTGAAAAAAACCCCAACTAAGTTAACTGTTACCATTTTAAATTCATGACCACTAATCTCAAGGGACCCTTTAGCATTATTTTTCTCTCCAATCCCTTCCCCACCCTCCACTTGTAGCTGATGGCCCTGCTTTCCATTACACTGAAAGCAGTAAGAACTAACCATGCTTTCTATTATACTAAAAAGCAATAAGATGATGTAGGGTAAAGAAAATATCAGGCTTTTCTGCCCTTCCGCCATCAGGATAGATGATGGATCCTTGTCCTGAATGCATGCCTGATGGCAGGCACCTGGAATAGGGTGGGGCATAGGTAGATGGGATTCAGCTGAGCTAAGATTGTGCTTTTAAGGGCGGCGTCATGGGGACGCCAGCAGCAGCAGAAGCCGAAGCAGAAGCCGAAAGAGAAGCCGAGAAGCAGCAGAACGAACTCCAGAGAGCTCAGATAGAGTGAAGATTTGCTGGGGGCTGGGAGGCCTGCCAGCCTCCCAGCCAGCACCCCTGTCTGCCATATGCCTGGTGAACCCCAATAAAAGACCTGCAAAAACCCACTAAGGACTCTGACTCCTCCTTTACCCGGTCTGCATGGGATCAGAAAACCTGCACTGTGTCCTGTCCTGCCCTTACAGATGAGAACTCAGTCACCTGCCACATCTACCCTGCTACCAGCAACTGTGCCCAAGTTCTCCTGTCCCTCCTCCTGTTAAATGTTGACATGTCCATTCCTCTGAGGACCCATTCCCTCTTACTCTTCCATCAATTCTTCCCTCCCTCTTTTGCATCACCTGTTCTCTCTTAACTATATAATTCCCACAAGCACGTATAGTTTTAAGTTCTTTCATTTTAAAACAACAAACTCCTCCTGAAAGAAAACTACAAAGAAAATAAATTCAACATATGACTAAATCCTAAGCATCTTCATCATATAGTCAATATTTAAGTTGTTACTAGAAGACCAGTCATTAACTTCATTTTTTTTTCTTTCTAAGAAGACAGGCAGATAGCAACACTTCCTAGCTATACTGCTGTATGACTGAGTTCTGTTCAATGGAATATGAGTGACAGTACCAAGTGATACCAAAAAATCAACAGCACTGACATACTATCAATAAGCAATTGGAAATTTAAAAATACTTTAAACAGCATTTAAAATATGAAATACTTAAGGATAAATCTGACCAAAAATCTGTAAGACCTATAAACTGAAACTCCAAAATACTGCTAAAATTTAAAGACTATCCAGATAAATAGAAAGATATACTATGTTCATGGTTCAGAAGGTTCAGCATTATGTCTCCCCAAAGTGATCAATACATCCAATGAAACCTCAGTCAAAAGTCCAGCTTTTTGCATAGAAGTTGGCAAGTTCTCGTTCTAAAATTGGTCTACCCCTCCAAAACACACAGACTCTTCTAAGCTGCTACATTTCCCTATGGGAAAGAAGAGAGGGTCACACTTTTTTCTATACAGAAAGACAGATGAAAAGAAATATACACAGATGCCATCTTCACTCTGCCTAGAGTGTTTTGTTGGTTCTTCTAACAAGAGCAAACTGCAGGCACAGAAGGAGTGACACTGTAGGCACGGGTTTCTCTTCTTGGGGAGACCCCTAACATGTACATCTACACACAGCTCATCTCTTCAATACAAGTACCTACTCATGTACCAACAGCATCAGAATGCAAGATGCCAAGAAATGATGGGAATAATAACAGTTAAATTCCTGTGGACTAAGAACTGTCATTTGATTCTCTTAAAAGGTTTCATAACAAGGTCACAGGAGTGAATAACAAATCAAGGTTAAGAGAAACCAAAATAAAGGAAACTCCACAAATAAAAACTAACTCCATAAATATGAAATATACAACCTAAAGTAATTGGAAAGTGAGTGAAAAGTACAAGGGAAAAAAACACTAATGATCTTAAAACCACACAGAAGGGCATGCAAACTGGCAGGAGGGAACTTTTGGGGAAGATGGAAAAGTTCTAAAAGTAGACTGAGATGGAAGTTTCACAAGTGTACACAATTACTATAAATCACTGAAACTACACTTTTCCATGGGTGAATTTTATAGTACATAAATTATACTTCAATAAAGAGAATTAGAAAAAAAAAACTCACACAGGTAAAAAGCAGAGTCTAAATGTTAGTCAGAGGTGAAACACGCAGCACTGTCATAAAAAGTAAACACAAGAGTTATGAAAGAATGCCTGTATCCACAGTTGAGTATATGATCCCTAAACTATCTTTGGTAATTATTTGCACTTAAAGAAGAATGGTGACAGTGTCTAGTAATGCTGCGGAAACCATTCGTGGTAAGGCCTAAGAGCATTTCTATTATGCGCACCTTAAAAGAGTCTATTATGGGTTCCACCATATAAATAAGATTATGAGCCCTACTCCTATGGATTCTTTGAAAATATACATATTTTTTACCTTTACCACTGATAATATTTAGTAGTGTTGGAGCTTAAAGCAAGGTTTTCTTTCTTATTTTAGAGCCAGATTTCCTCCTGATGGTGCAATGCCTTTTGAAGATGTCACTTGCTGAAAAAACACAACCTAGGATTTTAATGTGTGCCCTTAGGGTTTTCTTTTTTTTATATAATTGATTTGTTGATCATAATTATGACTGTCATCTGGCTTGAAGTTTTCTCTTTATTACACGGGGAGATGGATGCACAGGGGCAAGAGCATGGCTCTGGAGCCAGGTGACCACGGATCCTTGACTTACCATCTGTAGGCTCTGGGCATGCTCCTTAACACATCTGCACCTTGGTTCCTCATCTTTACTATGAGGCAATAATAGTACCTATTTCACATGTTTACTACAACAATGAAACAAGTTAAAGTTTATAAAGTATTTAAAATAGTATGTTGCATGAAGTAAGCACTATTAAAGTAATTTTAAAAAAACACAGTGGTCATCATGAAGGCTTATTTCAAAAATGTAGCATAGTAACACATCAGATCTCAGGAGAAAAGTATACAAACATAGTTTCATCTGAAGGGGAAAAGTCTTGAATATGCATAACACTTTTTACCAGGTTCTTAAGTACATCACAAGTCTGATGGAGAAAAGTGCTCACAGTGGTTGAATAATCTGTCAAGAATATACAGCTAGTAAATGAGAGATAGCTCGCTCTTTCTGTTCTATAGGACATGAGAAGAAAGGGATAATATGACTTTTTTTTTTAAAGATTTATTTTATTCATACAAGAGCTAGGGTGTAGGCAAAGGATCCACCAGAGATAGAGAAGTCTGCTGCCCTATATGTGGGTTAGCTCCCTGGCAGGGGATCGAACTCATGCTGCGGATAGCTTAATAATGCTGAGACTTAATCCCCTGTGCCACCAGGGAGGCCTATGACTTTAGACATTAGTTATCTTTAAACTACTTTCTTGTAGTCCTAATGCCAGAGAATTAATCTCAAGGCAAATTATTCATCACATATTAGGATTCTTCAATGGCATTTCTCAGCAAAATATTTCAGCACAATGGAAATCTATTGTTTATAATCAAAGGGTTTTTCGTTTGTTTGTTTGATGGTTTGTTGATTTGTTTGTTTAAATTCCAAGTGAGTTAAAAGATTCTTGACTAAAGGAGGGTTTTTTTTGTTTATTTGTTTTTTCAAAGATTTATTTTATTTATACAAGAGCTGGGGTATAGGACAGATGCGCGGGAGGGTTAAAGAATTCACCAGAGACAGAGCGGGGAACAGAACAGGCCGCCTGACGAAATACACTGCTGAGGGGAGCAGTGGGCAAGACAGGAGAGGTCTGCTCACCATGTGGGTTGCTCTGAGGCTGGCGGGGATCAAAACGGCACTGCAGAGGCTGCGGACGGTCTCACAGCGCTGGGCTCAACCGCCTGCGCCACCAGAGAGGCCCAATAAAGGTTTTTTATATGCCTGGCAACTCTTGACTTGCTGCTTCTGTTTATGCATTCTATTTCTGAGGATTTTTTGGGTTTCTTTTTTTGGCCTACCCAGACTGATAATAATTGGAACTACTTTGGTGTTGAATATCTAGATGTAAATTTCCAAGAATTCTGGTTTTCAGTGGTATTTTAATATTGAAGAGATGAAAGTTGATGACCAAAGAAATTCTAACCCTCTCATGACTGAAAGCCAAAAAATCTAAATGACTTTAGTCCAAAATATTTCAAAGAAACACTAAGGGACTTATCTGCTTATTATAACTCTTAATA